AGTTTGTATCTACTGTAGAATCATCACATAACTAAGAATTACCTTAAAACTAATAAATAAAATAATACTATCTATGTAACATTAGTGTATATATATATATATATATATATATATATAATTATTTATTTATATAGAAACAAAAACTGAAATACTGCATTACAATGATTTAAATTAATTGGTGACTATTATATCTAACTCCAAAAACTCCGTTAAAATATGATTATTTACATCACAAGATTATAAACTAGTTATTACCTGGAGTGTACTTTGACATTGTTTTTGAAATATTTGCTGTTATTCTCTTCAGCTTAGCCTCTCTTTCATCAAAAAGTCTCTAAAAATCAACAAATGCCACCAATTTAAAAACAAAAAATGTCTTATAGTATTAACAATTCTTAAGAAATTAGACACAAATCAATACGCACTGAAAATATATACCTTTTAGAAGTATTCAAAGGACTACTTTCCCTATATATCATGAGTGAGTGTTTTTTTATTTGTAAGTCATATATTTTTTACAAGGAACCATGAATAACTTGTGCACATGTATGATTTAATATTCTGACATATCTCACTGACACATGTATTTTCTAATATTTCAAACAAGACTGATTTACAAGCTCAAAACATTCATAAACAGACTGTAGTGCTAAATTCCAATCAACATCATGTTTTTAATTTTCATATTTCTTAAGAACCTGTTCCATATATTAAGAAATTAAGTGACTGCCTACCAAGTATAGTTCTCGCCAAGTTTCTTCATCATCTGGATTCCTTCCTCTAAAATCTCGTTTGCAGTGCACTTCCCATAGCTCATCTGTGTTTTCAACCAAATACTATGAAAAAAAAAATATGCTTAACCCATGGAAAATATTTAAATTATTAAAGTTAATCACCATTTCAGGAAAAGATTCATACTCTAGCTACCAATGTCCATAATTTCAGGGATACTTTCCTAGCACCAATTCAATTTCTTTTTTTACCATTTAAAAATCAAATCATATAACTATTAATGTCAATATAAAATTCTTTCTGTCTTTACTGACCAGAAGCACCACTTAGTGGCAGCAAATATTTATTAAAAGTGTGGAAAATGTTATCCTTCTATTAACCAGTTAATTTGTCTTCTACCTAGTTTGGACACTATCATTCTAGTATTCACATGCATTATGTTTACCAAGTACCAACACTGACCTTTTTAACCCTATATATTTGGTTGGGTCAAAGCGCGCACACACATCACAACCTTTTTTATAGTTACATTCAAAATTTAACTATACAACTTTATTATCAAGGCATGTCAATAAACATGGAATCAAAATGAATTTTATAATTCAAATTTTGAGAGAAGTTTTAGTTTCTTAGTTTCAAAAGAAAATATTTGAATAAATTCTCAATTTTCACTTCTCTGTATCACTTGATGCTTCTTTTCTTCAATATTGCTCATTTTAGATTTTCTTTCTACCCCTATACGATCTTTTCAGTTTGGCAAAAATAACACAAGTATAGTATAGGCATTGCTAAGCCATAATGTAAACTTGAGAGTCTCCAATCTTCTTACTCTATTGAAATATAAACATGAAAAATCAAACCCACATGTCACACCCTCTTATCAAATCCTATTTTTCAAAAAATGTCAATGATTCTCTTTAATTATCTTTAACTTAATAATTTTTCTATAAGGCTAGCTCATTCTAATAACAGTTTGAGTTATTCAGTCTTAGTTTTATTGTTTGCTATCATCAAGATCCCATCAACCAGCTAATGGAATTTCTTTTACCCATTTACAGCTTTCTTAAAAAGCCAGTTAAATTACAGTAGTTTTAGAACATTTATTTTTGTGTGTGTATGATAATATTTTGTGTTCTAAATTGCATATAGCTTGAAGATTTAACCTTATAAGTGGTACACAATGAACAGATCAGGATAACTATGCTTAAAATGAAATAAGAGAAACTGTTTCCAATAGTGGCTACCAACAATAAGTGGTTAGACATTTGGAACAGCAGGCTAGAACACCCACTAATTGCTAATTTCAACTTTAATCCACATATGAGGGTTGCAAATGTAGAGCTTCCACCTGACATATGAAGCATCCTCACTACTGTACAGTTTCTACTTTTGTAGATGTCCCTATCACCAAGAAATAATTATATGTTCCCACTCTATAGTTTATGGGTTCATTTTATATGTAAAACCTGTGTGTATGATGCTATAGATAAACACCACTTCAGAGATTGTTTGTTTGAATGTTTGAACAGATTTCTCACTTTATAATAATAGAAGATAAAAATTGCATACATTTAGAAATTTCCAATATTTAAGCAGATTTGTTTTTCAAGAACTAAGACAAACTAAAAATACCTACTGTAATTTTTTATAAATGAATTCTGAAATAACCACATTTAACTGCCTGTTGCATATCATTTATCAGTGGAAGACTTTTAAAGGTTCTATATGAGTGCAACATAGCTTTGTTACATCTTAAATATCTAAAATGTTTGAGAACTGAATTCTATAATATGTAAGCTTTATATATACAGGATTATAGCCTCCTAATGCGCAAGATATCTAAAATATAAATACTTCAGAACTGAATTCTGTAACTCTTTCCACTTAGGTTTGGTCAATGTGACTGACCTTGTAACCACAAAGTAACCATTAGAATTTGCATAGTACAACTTTTAATAGATTTTGAGTAACTTCACAAAATGTAGCTAGTTTTCAGTAAACATTACAAAACTTTTGTACAAAAAAAATTAATGTTTTAACCCTATCACGATGGGCATCCTTTACTGCGCATGTCACAAGGTTTTAGTGACTTTCATTCAAAATTTTATTAATCTACTTTTTGTTTATGTTATACCAATTAGTATAGCATAAAATCTTAGCTAATAATCGATATTTTAATAATATTTAAGTTTTAAGTTCTTAATTTTACAAGGCAATATTTAAAAAAATACCGAATATCCCCTAGTGTCACACATTTTCTCTTCTCAATTTTATCCACCACCCCTCCAATAAGTACGAAATTCAACGTAAATTACTCACTATAAAATTGACATTGCTCAGACAAACCATAATTTTATAGCCTTCAATTTTGTTTGGTTACAGAGCCATCAAATGGAAAATCAGATCCCTCTTACAACACCCACCTGTCACATCTTCTCTTTCAGGATTTGTTAATAGTTCTCTTGTATTTAATACTATATTATCTATAACCAATAGAAAGCCAAGGTTTACATCTATCAAATGACATGTTATATAACATTGTTTTCTGAATTGAGAATAGTCAGTTTCACTGTTAGTACAAGCTTCGTTCCCACAGGAAAGATAATGATTAGCTTGGCTAATATTGTAATGGTTCTTATCCAATAGTTAGAAAACCAGAAAAATTGTGATAGTTAGGGGAAATTGCCTACTTTTTAATTATTTAATGCATAACTACCATTAGTATAAAAAAGTAGGGTTAAATGTGATCGACAATAAGAAAAAAGAAGATTTGGGTCAGTACTTTATTTTTCATGTCTATTCTTTATTTATTATTATAAAAGTAGCTAAAATGTGAAAATATGGATCTATTTAGGTTAGTTAAGGTTAGATTAAGTAAACTACATAATAATATAATAAAAATGTTTCACAAGGCATGCACGTGAGCAACTCGTGGGTAATGTAGTTCAATAGTGTAACATTACCTCAACATTTCCCAAGTGACTTACAACTTCTAAAGGCATGAATAGTAGTTAGACATGGTTCAAAGGGCAATAAAACAATAAAATTTAATTATAAATAGACGTATAGTTACGAGTTTAAAGCTTCTTAAGATAAACGAATGTAGTTTCATGTTACAATTGAAAAAAGTCATTTAGATTTATTTCAATATTTTTTTGGTGGTTATGTGATCGTCAAACTGACCAATGTTGTGTAGAGTTAGGGTAGAGAAAATAACAAATATAAAAGTTTTACTGAAAACAAACATTTGAAAAATATTTAGAAGGTTTTAGAGATTACCCCAATCAAATCCGAGATTTTTGAGATGATGAAAAGTGTTTTTCAATCTTAACATAAAAATCTCTTTGCACACAACTATTCAAAACAAATACTCAATATATTCACGGAATTTTTATTCATTTAAAATACTTCACAAAAAAATATGATTTTTAGTATGTGAAACACTTATAATATTTACTGAAAGACTGCCAAATTTTGTTAAGATATACATATTATATTAAAAGTTAGAAGTATCAAATCTACGAAAAGTTCATATGAGTACAAAGAGGTCATGTAGTTGGTCAAATCTACCGAGCCCATTTTGAGAGAGTTAATTAAGTATTTTTACTAAAAATTTGTCCATGAATATTTGGAGTCAGAATATTGAATGCTCCAGTTTCAAATTGATTATAATGTTAAGATTAATAATACTTTTCTTCACGTGAAAATTTTAAAATTTCATTTCCATAACCTCTAAAACCTTCTAATAGATATATCAAACATTTTTATCATTAAAACTTTATATTTCATCTGTTATTTTCTCTACCCTAATTTTATATAGACTCGGTCGATTTGACCAACCAGGTAATCACCATAAAAGAATACAAAATAAATCTAAGTTACCCTTTTTTTCTTCCTAGAATGACTGTGATTGTAAAGACAACTAAACTGTTTATCCTAACTAGCTTTAAAGCTAGTACCAGTTTACAACTGTTTATACTTAATTTTATTGTTTTATTGCCCATCAAACTGTGTCTGAAGAATAATTCTGCCACACAAGTTGTAAATCACTCAATGAATTCATAACTTACAGCGAGCATACCTTGTGAAGACTTTTTTATTATTGTTATTCATTATCATATCTAATCTAACATACTATGTTTCTAATTTTTACATTTTAGTTACTTTTATAACAATAAATAAAAAATATACACAAAAAACAAGAAACATAGTACTTACCTTTGATATCTTGCATTTGCTGTTGGTTGCTAATGCAATTTAAGTCTTTTTTTTTCTTTTATAATTATGATACTAGTACACTAAATAATTTTTAATTACTGAAATAATGCACCTACAAACACAGAAAATAAGATGCACTAATCAAAAAATGTCCTATAACTTAACTGGCTTTCTAACCAAAACAAAAGGGTCTTAAATTAATTTCTTTAGCTGTTCGATCTGAACACCACGAGATAAACTTTCAAACTGAAGATGAAATTGACAGTACTCTGTACTGAAAACAGCATAACATTATATATATCATTTGATAGATTAAAACTTTGCCTTTCTATCAGTTACAAATTATATAGCATAAAACAGAAAGAATTATTAGCAATTTTGAAAGAGAATGTGACAAGTGGGTCTGATTTTCTAGTTTATGATGCCATAAACAAATATGATTATAGGCTATGAAAATTAGACTTCGTAATTTATCTTAAATTTTGTACTTCACATAGGATTAATAAATAAGTTAGAGAAGGAAGCAGATCTAGAGAACAAACGTCACAATATTCATACTAGGGGAAATTGAGTATTTTTTAAAAATATTTCCTTATAATATTAAGAACTTCAAACTTATATTAAAATTTGATTTATTAACTATGTTTGGATGCCAAGTTTATTCATATACATTGATAATAATGTAGTTTAATTAAATTTGGAATGTAATTCTGTAGAAGGTGGTGACATGCATTTTGACCTAATCATAGCAAGAGGGATAATGTGTAAGCTTTATACATACGGGGTTATAGTCTTCTAACGTGTATAATTGTGTTGGACTGCACCGTTCTAAAACTGGTTTCAGTAGCTCATAAGGTACCCCACCTGTTACTGCAAGACCTGGAATTAACAAAGCGGCACATATAAATTTGTATCTAAGTAGTACCAAATTCTAAATTACATTATTACTGTAAATCTTATATATATAAAATTGAACACTCTGAATCTAATAATTTCCAGTTATCTAACTCAAGATGCTCTGACAGCCAAGGGCAATATTTTTTTTATTACATCTGTAAGCTACAATTGGAAGCTATAATAGCAACAACAAAAAATAAGCATATAGGAAAGAATGAAAGATGGTCTTATCTATAAAATTGTTACTACAAAATAATGTGGTTTGTTACAATATACTGAAATTCATAGCTGAATACTAATTTAACTTGTTACTTAAATTTGTTTCACTCTCATACATGTACCTTGAACATCAAGTATGCAAATGTAAGTTTCAAGCTGTATAAAAGAATCTTTTGCTAATTACATACTAGCTACTTGTCATAACATAAAAACCAAAAATAAGTATGTGTAATGCAAACATTTTACTCAAACAAACATGCAAATACAAACTGATGCACAAATATTAGTTTTTTCTTTTATACATGTAGACATAGCTAACCTTCTTTTTACCAAAAACGTACAAATAGATTTTCTATGTATTTTAAACTGTTTCTTTTATGATTATGTAAAGGGTGGGGGCATAGCCAGCCCTGTAAACAAAAAATACCAACCTTTTTTCTATGCAAAGAATTTAAGTGATTTACCTTTATCTAAATTAAAGTATTCAAAACTTAAAGAGGGCAAAAACAAAAAGGATCTTATTTTTACCTTAGAGTTATCAGCTGCTGAGTTATAAATAACTTATTAAATATAAGGGTGGTTATTAGAACCTCACCTCTATCCTACATCTCTACTAGTCTATTACACCACATTTTCTGTCAGAGACTTGCTACCAGCCCAATAAAAAAACAAATAAGATATAGCAATATTATTACTATCTATTTATATTACTTTTAACAATACATGGGTCCTAGGAATGACCATAAACTGCAACTGACTGGAGGTTCTGGTAGCAATGTGATGGGATTACTTCTAGAGTAAGGTGAGAACAGGGCACCTTAAAATCCTAGCCCCACTGCCTTGTGGCAATTCTTTGATTGGAGTAAGGCTAAGGGATATCACTATGTTACAAATGTGCTCTTAGTGAGGCTATATGCAGTCAGCAGCAGCTCTAACCAGTAGCTTTCTAGCAGAAGCTACAACAATCAAGATACTGAACATCTGGATTCATTCTGACCTTTGAATTCTGTCTCAATGATCTAAATGAGAGGATGGTAAGTCTAGGGCAGCCTCCACTCTTCCATACTCTTGCTATGTGTATGTGTTGAAGGTCTTGGTGTGATGGTCATAGAATTCTGTAAGGGGCATAAGGATCCTGAAAAGCTACAAAATCATTCAAGCAGGAAGATCTAGAAAAGGTGGGCCAAAAACCAAGTCCCAACCCTATTTATCTCGGCCAAAATGAAATAAAGCAATTTTGCATGTTGAAATGTTCAGACTCTGAACCCTGGTAATCAATTCAGACTTGAAGTTATTGAAAATAGCTCTAATAAACTATGAATTTGTTAGACATCAAATGATACTGCTGTATTATCAGAAACTTGGCTCTCAGATCTCTCTTTATGTACCATATTCAAACAGGATGTTGGAGACCATGATCTTCCACAGATCTCTTCTCCTTGAGGCACAAAGAATTATCAATGTCGATACATTCATCCATTTACATAGACTGTTGATAAAAGTAAACCTCTGCCTTTCACAGTCTCTTCTTCCTTTCATCTTTTCAGTTACGACCAGACTTTCAATTTCTTCTTTCCTCATAATATGTCCGAGAAACTCCAACTGTCTCTTTCTGTTACAACCTACTCTTGACAAAATATTTTCATTTGAGATGTAACTTGTCGAAGATACTTCAAGATGTGCCTAATAACCACAACTCAATTGCTTCAAATCTCTTTTCCATACCTGAAGATATTGTACAACATTCTGATGCATACATGAGAATTGGTATAATATAACAATCCAAAACTCTGAACTTCATCCCCACAGAAATTTTACTATTTCTCAGTATATTTTTTATTTTCAGAAATGTATCTTTTGCATTTTCCATTTTATTTCATGATTACATTTACCACCTGATGTTATCCAACTTCACAGGTAATTAAATTTACTGACATGCCTTATCTGTTCCTTATCTATGTTGACAATGCATACAGGAATGATCTTCTTGTAATTATCATGCAGTCTGTTTTCAAACAGTTAATACTTAAACCCTTCTTCTCACTTTTACAGCTCTCAGATACAGGTTCTACTCAAGAGAATGACTATACCATCTTTTTGGCATGGGAAACCAGCAGGAGAAAAGAGAGAGCATGAAGTTGGGTTTGGTATTAGAAACAGCTTACTACTCTTCTGTTAGAGCACCATTACTTAGCTATCCAACTAATAATACCAAGAGTGCACAAACAAAATGGTTTCTTTATGTTGTTTAGAAGTTGGTGCAACTGGAAGTGAAGGAGGAGTTATGTAACATATACAAAGAGACAGACACTGAATCTTATTATATATATATCTACTCAATAAGCCACAAAACTTGAAACAACCCCCCCCCAAAAAAAAACTTTTGTATACTTAGTGCTTCAGTCTTACTATTTATCTCTAAGTCTTATAATAAGTTGTAAAATAAGCCATGTATTCAAACCAGTGTCTTACCAATGCATTTTTGGTAACTACTAACTGTCTTGGTTATCTATGCTTTTCATACATAAATACTACATTGGCCCCATGTACTAAAAACAACATCTATAATACTCCTGTAACATCAATCTTGACTAATCTATACTCTTAAATTTTAATATAAACCACAAATACTGTAAAACAAATGTAGATCTGAGTCTACTATACTGGATCCATGTAGAATGAATAAAATGTCTAACATTCTTACAAAGTAATTATTTCAGAAAAAAATATGTTGTTCAATCATTCACAAATAAAGTGATGTAATTCTTACCTTCTACATTGTCAATAAGCACCCTGACACATGCTTCATACAAGGTAGGAACTTCTGAAATAAAAAATATAGAATGTAAGATACACTTTACACACACATCAAAAAATAATTTTATATGAAACAAATTTTATATGCTTTACTGAACTTTAACAGTTGACTGGCAGGCCAGGACAAGTGAAAGTTTGATTCAGTTTTAAATCAGACAAGTGAAAAAAAATTAGTTCCATACAAGATAATTGTGATTATCTCGAATTATTTTTGCAGACATGTAATTTTGAGATTGCAGCAGATGCTTTTATTTATAAATGATGTGTATAATGCTTGAAAAGCTGTTTGCTTTTGTAACCTACATGGAGAAATGTCTTTAAAGACAGTAGTAGAAGTGTTGTTTACAAAATTTTTGAATTATTATGACATTATAATAAAAAAATGTGATGAAATATAAGATACATAAAAAGCTGACATGAGAAATAACAGCTTCTTGCCCTATAGGACAAGATATGTAAAACATTAGCACCATGCCTTGACATGTAGCTTAACTCTCTCAATACAGGGTCAGTCAATATGGGACCATTTTTACTTGTATATAGTTTTAATACAATAACATTTAATTCAAAATTTAGCAGACTTTTAGTACATATTACAAGTATTTTGTGCAAAAAAAAATCATTTTTTTTTTAATGAAGTACTTTTACTAAAGATTTGTCCATAAATATATCGAGTATTTGTTTTGAATAGTCTGTATGCAAAATGATTTTCATGTTAAGATTAAAAATACTTTTCTTCCTCTCAAAAATCTCAAATTTTATTTGTGTAATCTCTAAAACCTCCTAAATATATTTCAAATGTTTGTTTTCAGTAAAACTTTATATTTTACCAGTTATTTTCTCAACCCTAACTCTATACAAGGTTTGTCAATTTGACTGATCTCGTAACCACCAAAAAAAAAATTGAATCTAAATTACCCTTTTTTTCTTTCTAGAATGAATTCAAATTGTAACATCAAAACTACATTAATATTTATCCTTAGTAGCTTTAAACTCGTAACAGTATACAACTATTCATAATTAAATTTCATTGCCCATTGAACCATGTCTAACTACTATTCATGCCTTTAAAAGTTGTAAATCATTTGAGAAATGTGGAGGTCACATTACGCTATTGAATTATGTTACCCATGAGCTGCTCATGTGCGTGTCTAGTGAAACATTTTTATTATATTATTATTTATTTTACCTATTCTAACCTTAACTAACCTGAAGTTAGTTTTATAATAATAAATGAACAAACATGAATCTTCTTTTTTCTTGCTGTTGATTATTGAAGACACTTAACCCAACTGTTTTTATAATAATAGTAGTAATGCACTAAATTTTTATTTAATTAAATAATGCACCAAAGAACATAGACTAACAACATGTAAAAAGTAGACAATTTTCTCTAACTATCACAATTAATCGGGCTTTATAACTATGCAACAATTCTCCATTCATAAAACAATGTTATACATCATTTGAAAGATGAAAAACCTTGGTTTTCTCTTGGTTATAGACAATATAGAACTATAAACAAGTCCCGAAAGAGAGGTGGGTGTAGCAAGAGGCTATAAAAATTATGGTTTGTCTGAGCAATGATGATTTTACAGCAAGTATATTTAATTTCATACTTATTGGGGGGGGGGGGATATAATATAGAAGAGAAGATGTATAGAGAAAATGTGGAAATTCAGGATTTTTTAAATATTTTCACATAAAATTAAGAACTTAAACCTTATATACTAATAAATACAGTTTATTATCTGATATTTTATGTTATACTAATTGGAATAACATAAACAAAAAATAGATTAATAAAATTGTAAATGTAAGTCACTAAAATCCTGTGACATGTGCAGTAAAGGATGCCCATTGCAATAGGATTAATGTGATTCAGAAATTCTTCAAACAAGTATTTATTAAAGATTTCTTTTGTGATACCTTAGACCCAATGTGCAGCATATATTACCTTGCATGAGAAGACAAAAATGGTGGTTATGTATAACAGATAAAACAGCTTGATTCATTAAAAGAAATAAAAGATAATTAATGAAGTATTCCTAAAGAGCATATTACTTAAAATACTGTTGGTGGTGACTGACTTATTACTTTCAATGTTTGTTTCTAAATCAACATTGAAGCAGCAAAACATAGCACCAGGAGTTTAGATGTTCAAATGTAAAACTACATTAATGTTACCAACTGAGGTAGTTTCTTGTATATGGTACTCATAATATGGAATAAAATCAAAAGAAATAGCCTGATGTATGTATTTTACATTTCACTTTATCTTTTCTTATCACAAACTTGTTTTATTGCCTACTACTACAGACACTGAATATTCTTATACAAAGAAAAAACAACTCACCAGACAAGTACACAGTCTTTCTGCCTGAGTAAACAGCAGTTCGGTCTTTCTTTGATGAAGTAAACAAAATAGCTTCTTCATGGGTTAGTGTTGCTGTAAAACAAATGAAAGAAAATTAAAACATGCAACTCCTGCAAGAATAAAATAAGATAACCAGCAACTTTAATGGGTAATGTACAATACCTATCAAACAAACAAAAAACACTCAGATTAATTACTACAATAAACACACTGAAATATGATCTTGATCAGAAGTTAAGATCATAAAAAAATGCAGTAAATTAAAACTTCCACTTCAAACACAAAAATGAGCTGATCATCAAATCACCAAAACATTTGTATATTTTTCTTTCAAAATAAGATTCAAGGTACAATTCTACACAGCGTGGTCACAAGTAAATATACACCACCTTTTCAGAAAAAATGAAATTTTTCAGTCATATTCACCATGAATTGATATATTTACAATTTAATTAATATCTAGTAGATCTTCCTTTCGTTTTGTGGAGTTTGTTGATCCATTTGGGCATCGTGAGAATATTCTCGTCAATTTTAGATTGTGGGATTTTCGCCCACTCTTGCTTCAAAACTTGGAGTAGATCGCTTTTTGAAGTGGGTTTTTTTGGTTGTTTCTTGACTTGCCGGTCGAGTATGGCCCAGAGGTTTTCGATGGGGTTCATGTCAGGAGATTGGCCCGGCAAGGGCAACTTCTGGATACCATTTTCTTCCTGCCACTTTTGGGTGTTTCTAGTAGTGTGACATGGTCCTCCATCTTCCTGAAACAACGTTGTGTTCTTGTCCACGAAACCCGAGGAATAAAGTAGCAAGAGTCCTTCCTCCAACATTTCGCAAAATTTATGTGGCCAACGCACTCCACTAAGCTCGATTTCCCACCAACCCAAACAGCTCCCCAAACCATCACGCTGAAACCGCCGTGCTTCACAGTTGTTTCAAATCTGTTGAGCCAAAACTCTTGGTGAGGTATTCTCCAGACCCATATCCTTCCACTGTCCGAAAATTGAGCGAATCTTGATTCGTCTGAGAACAATATGGTCTTCCAAAAGTCCAGAGGATTGGTCATCATATCACTTGCCCACTTCTTTCGTCTGACTATGTTGGCAGGTCTTAATAAGGGCTTCCATGTAGCTGCTCTGCAACGATAACCCAATCTGTGGAGAATCCGTTGAAAAGATTTCGAGCTCATCCCACCAGCTTTGGCCACTTCTGC